GCGCCGCCCTCCCCCCGGGAACCCGGCCCCGGGCCCGCGCACCTCGGCAGCCTTCGAACCGCAGCGCGGGGTTCCGGCGGTCACAGCCCCTCCGGCCGCGCGCGGGGTTTCTCCTTTTTCGGCGTCACAATAATAAGGAAGTTTCCCCGCAAGCCTGCGGGCGGCGGAATGCGCCGAGTGAATGACTTGCCTCCTGGCCAATGAGCGTCTGCTATTGTCGGGCGCGCACCAATGGTGATCGCGGCAGCTCGAGGGGAGGCGGGGCCGTGCGGGCCGCGGGCGGAAGGCGGGGAGAGGCCGGAGCCGGAGAGGGCGGCGCGGGCGGCGGGAGGGGACGGGACCCGCGGGCCGGGCGCGGGGGCAGCAGCGCCCGCACGTGAGCCGAGGTCGGGCTGGAGGGCTCCGAGCGCTGGGCCGGAGTAGGATTGCGATGGAAGACGGCTGGCTGGGTCCTTTCATTAGCTCCTGGACTCTGGGTCTCATTATCCATGCAGAAGTGACCCAAAGCCTTAGGAAGGCTGGGGGGGGGGGGGGGTGACCGCTGGAGGCGAGTGCGGCGTCTTGGGCGGTTCTCACCCTCGGGGCACTGTGCAGAGCGCCCAGCCCAAGCACGGGGCTGCGGGGCTGCGCGGTGGCCGCGGCGGGAAGGAGGACGGCTGCAGTGGCCGGCGCCGCCAGCGCCCTTCGGGAGAGTTGTGAATAGAAGGGAGGGCGGAAAGAGGGTGAAAAGAAGCCACTGAACTTGACCTGTGTGAGTCATCGTCTGAACTGACACCCTGGGCCTAAAACCTAGAACAAGATCTTTTATTAAGTTTGACCTCCTCCCCTTGGCTTGGCACCTTCTCCCAAGGTCACCAGCACTTTGGAGACTGGCCCTGGTCCTGATGATCCACAGATCATCTTGAAGACAACATTCTGGCAAAGGTGATCATGTGTCTGCCCTTCTTACATTTGAAAGCCTGACAAGTACTGCTTTCAACCCAAAGCGATGACAGCCTTGGCACAGGAATCAGGATCAGTTCTTCCCAAGGCTATTCGAATCACCCCAAGTGTGCAGACTCGGCTGAGCACCTACCAGACTGACCCAGTAGTGCATCTGAGCAGTTCATCCTGGCTGCTGTGTGTCCGCAGTAAAGCAGGCAAACTGTAAAATACCTCAGAGACAGAGTAAGACAGCCAGAATCTCACTTATCAGGTAGCTAAGGGCAGTTGAGAAAAGAATTGACAAAGCTGTGAAATTTGAATCACACTGGCCACCTTTGGAAACACTGGGGAAGGGAGAAATCCAATTCACCTAGGCTGCAATGTGGGCCAGTGTCACCTGCTTCGGCTGTGATGAAGCTGGGATCCCCACGGGGCCAGGCTCTGGAAGCCCTGGCTTCCAGCAACTGGCTCCATAGGAAGGAGGATACTAGTGGAGGTAGGAGTAGAGTTCTAGTTGATGTCAAATGTGAGGTTTGTCATCACTATTTGGGATGCTGTATCTGGACCGCAGCTCAAGAGTTTGTTTCCAGGTGTGGTTTTGTAGGGGTTTTTGTTTTTTTTATGAATAAATTCATCTTGATGACAAGCCTGAAGGTGAGGGAGGACTGATCGCTAAATAAAGTCTTATTTTCCTTACTGAAAACAGAGCCAGAGCTTTCCTATGCAAAACAAAGTGATGATGTTGCATTTTCTTTTTTTTAATTTTTATTATTTTTGGGGGTTTTTTTAGAGGGGTTTTTGGGGGGAAGGGGAGTTACTGGGGATTTAGCTCAGAGCCTCAAGTTGCCAGGCAAGTGTTCTACCACTTGCACCACACCTTTGACCCTTTCTGCTCTATTTTTCGGGTAAGCTCTCTCACTTCTTGCTTGGCCAGAACCCTGGACAAGTGACCTTTCTACATCTGCCTTCCAAGTGGCTGGGATTACAGGTATTCGGCACTGTGCCCAACTTCTTTCTTTAATTGAGCCAGTATAGAATAGTAATTATGGCAGCAAGCAAGCCTGCTCCCTTTAACCAAAACAGCTTTAAGTGGCCCCAGCACCCACAGTAATCTTAATTGCATATATTTCAAGGTCATGGCTTAATTTTCGTTCCATCTTTCCAACTGGCTGGATATATTTTCACGAACATACAAGATACTCAGCATGTGTGAGAGCCCTCACCCATGCCTGTGGATGCTTGGCCCAGCAGAACAGCTGCCATCAGCGGGAAACGAACATCAACCAAGCAACTGCATCAAGAATTATGCAGTAGGGAACCATAGAAGATTGTGTGGACAAAAGATACTTGTATTTAAAATGAAAGACTTAATAAATGCTAAGCATAACTCTTGACCGAAGGAGACCATTGTGGTCCAGCTCCATCAGGAGACAGGTGATCCCCAGTGCCAAAGGAACGATGCCCAGAGCTGCCGTTTCCACCCAGACACAGGCTGATTTGCTCCCTTCTGCACAGCCGCCTCCTTCAAATGTGGATAGCTGCTTTTGAATTGAAGCAAATTTTCTATAGAATACGTGAATATCATTTAATGATAATTGTTTTTCTTCTGTCTTTCTCCATTTATTTCAATTGACTGCACATTCATAAATTTAGAAAGGGACAGATAGACTTCTGATATCTTGGTGGGAGAAATAGGTTGGTCATAACTGTGTGTCTGGATGCATTTTTGTGTGTTTCTTTGTTTTTATGTTTTTATTTTTAGACTGTGTCTCACTGTGTAGCCCAGGTTGGCCTAGAACTGTTCTTCCTACCTCTTTCAAGTGTGGGGATTACAGGCATGAGCTACCAGGCCCAGTTCTGAGATACACTATTTCCTTTTTGTTTGCTTTATTGGTTTTTTTGGTAGTACTGGAGTTGATCTCAGGGCCTTATACATGCTAAGCAAGAATTCTGCACTTGAGCCTCACTCTCAGCCCTGTTACATTTCTTCATGTCCAAAAGAGAAATATTTGACAGGTTTTTTTTCTGTCTTTTTCTTTCTCTTCTTAATTCTCTTCTTCCACATTTGTTTTCTTAAGGCATTTGGGTAGGACACAGTACCTTATCTTAAATATAACAATGATATCATTATCTTAGTTAAAATGTATTAATGTTATCATGATTTGGCTGGAAGTGGCATCCAGGATACTTGGGTTGTAAACCAAGAAATCAGATATGAGATTAAAATAAAAGCAGCATTTTTATTCAGGTACAGAATAAATTTGAAAATCAGGCAACATAGGACAAGTTAGACACCAAATAACTTCCATTAAGAGTTAGGAAGCCTGGCCAGGCTCATGCCTATAATCCTAGCTACTAAAGAGGTTGAGATCTAAGGATCATGATTTGAATGCAGCCCAGGCAGGAAAATCCATGAGACACTTATTTCAATAAAATGCTCAGAAAAGCTGGAAGTGGCACTGTGGGTCAAGTAGTGGAGCGATAGCCTTGAACACCAAAGTTCAGAGACCCAGACCCTGAGTTCAAGCCCCAGGACTGACAAAAAAAAAAAGAGTAGGGAAGACTGGATTTTTTTTAAACAAAGTTTCACTCTGCAGCCCAAGCTGGCCTCAAACTTGGGATCCTCCTGCCCCAGCCCCCTGAATGCTGATGCCTGTGCTACCATACTCCTGGAGGACTTAGAGTCTTAAAAGAGATCAAAGGAGAACAATGGGGTAACTTGAACTTGTTTAGAGCAACTCTCTGTTGGCCCTGAGCATTGCACAAGTTGTTTTGAATTACTTAGGTTAGTTCTGGGGTCTTGGTTACAAGGTAAGCTATCCTAAGAGGGTCCTTGGTAAGCAGTAAGTCTTTTAAACCATCAAGACAGCAGATCCCGTGACTAGAAATGAACCCCAAGATAGGAACACAAGAGGTTTTATCTTTCTTGCTTTTGTTTTTAATGTGCTTATTATGTTCTATGTGATTTTTTTGCTTCTTTTGTATGTTCTACCCCCATTGTATAACCCCCATTTTCACTGTATTTGATTCCTGTGCCCTGCATCTTCTATATACATTTTTCTAATTTGGGGAGGGGAAGGGAAATAACAAAATGCTGAAATAAGGATACAGGTTGACCCATTGTAGCAATGAGATGTACAAGACACTATGTTGAAAACAAACTTTACAACTTCAGGTTGGGGGGGAGAGAGGAGTTGGGAAGGTGGGGAGGGAAGGGATGGTAGAGGAAAAACAAAGGAGGGGGCAACAGTCTCGATAGGAAATGTACTCATTACCTTACTCATGTAACTGTAACCCCTCTGCACAGAATCTTTACAATAAAAAACATTAATATATAAAAAAGAAACTCAAAAACTAATCTTACATGCATGTTCTCAACAAAAGCATTCTTTATCTGGAAAGTAAAGACAGAGAGTTGCTGAGCAAAAAGTGGCTCATGCCAGTATATCTAGCTACTTGGGAGGCTGAGAATGGGAGGATTATAGTTAGCCTGGGTTGGACTGGGCAGACAATTCCAAAAGACACCAACTCAACAGAAGAAGTTGAGTGTAGTGGTATGTGCATATTCTCCAAGCTACCATGGGGAACCAAAAATAGAGGAGTGGGGACTGAGGGACATCAAAGTCCAGACAAAGCCTAGACAGAATGTAAGACTCCATCTTAAAAATAACCAGCATTATAAACCACTGTAGGCATGGCTTAGTGGTAAAACACCTGCTTAGCAAGCAGGTTCACAATAGCAATCAAACAAAATTGAGTGACTGGTGGCAGTAAGAAAAATTGCAGCCTGCCAAATGGTGCTCCTTAGGGTTTGTAGATTAACTTTGCTCTAGGGACAAACTGCAGCCATCTTAATTTTATTTACACAGGGGAAGGCAGCAATGATCATATTTGTCATCATGTAACTGCATCTAGTTGGCATAGTTTAACTTCCTAAACCAGACAGCTCTGTTAAGTCTTCATAAATTTATGTGTGTAAAGCCAAAATAAAATCATAAAAATCAAACACTCCATTCCTGTGACAATTTATTAAATCTGTGTCAAATGAAATTTAAGACATTTTATTGTAGCCTAGAAAAAAAAAGTGAAGTATGTGGAATTTCAAAAGGAAATAAGTATAATAAGATTAGACAGATTTATTAGGTGGCTATAAAAATCTAGAGACATGGGCAAATATATGTAATAACTAGTTTTTACATAGTATATAAAACATTACAATGCTTTCTTCTTATTACAATAAGGATGATGCTTTTTTCCAGCATTTTCCACAGTCCCAGCTACAGCAGCTATAACCTACCAACCCTTGGAAGATTTCTCCCTCTGATTTTAGTTTTTTAGTACTGAGGGTTGAACTCAGGCCTTATACTTAGTAGGAAGGTGTTTCACCATTTGTGCCAGAGATTCAGCTTATATGCAACATTTAAGTACTTACTCTCTACATATAATTTTACTCATAATTGATCAATAGAACTAAGCACAAGTCTACAACCTGTCTTTAAAACTGCACAGAATCTGACTAAGTAGATACATTGTCATTTATTTAACTAGTTATTCCATGGTAATACTTAAATTGTTTTCAATACTTTTCCATTACAGACAATTATACAACATAGCTGAATGGAGAAAATATAGCCAAAATTTTGCCTCATGCTTTGTTTTCTTAAGATAAAATGGAACTGCTAAGTGAGGCAGAATGTAGACTTACCTTTTTGTAGTAAAAAGAAAGTGCAGTAAAATGTACTCAGTACCTGATTAAGGGAAGGATAACATCTCTATACAACACCTTAATAATAACAATAAAATTATATTTAAAATTTTTTGAGCTGGATGTCAGTGGCTCACGCCTGCAATCCTAGCTACTCAGAAGGCTGAGTTCTGAAGATCGCAGTTTGAAGACAACTTAGGCAGGAATGTACATGAGACTGTTCTCTCCTGTAACTACTCAGAAAAAGCCAGAAGTGGCACTGTGGCTCTACTGGTAAAGCACTAGCTTTGAACACAAAGAGGCTCAGAGGTAGCACCCAGGCCCTGAGTTCAAGCACCAAGACAGGCAAAAAAAAAAAAAAACATAATTTTTTTAATTGCAGTTTGTTAAATTTCCCTAATGATAGATGGTTTCCGTCTTGAGAGTCTGAGATTGGAAGGACTTTGGTTCGAAGCCAATAGGGCAGAAAACCAACAACCAGAAGCAGTGGTGCACATCTGTCATCCTCATCACCACAGCTTTGTGAGAAGCAAAAGTAGGTGAATCACCGTCTATTCATGTATGCGCCCAGGCAGGAAATGAGACTCTATCTCAAAAATACCAGTGGGATAAAGGGCTGGAGGTATGGCCCATGGGTAGAGCAAGCATAAGACCTAAATTCAAACCCCAGTACGCACCTCTCCCCCTCCCCTCCCTCCCCTCCCCCCACAACACACACACACACACACACACACACACACACAGAAAAATGACAGCACCAGCCAAACCCACACAATATCTGGCTTCTGTCAAGCGCCTTTGCCAGTTTTTAAAATGTTTTTAATAGTGTCCATTGTATAGGCAAATTTGTCTTTACTGAACTATATATGATATAAACAAAAATAAAAGAATCTCGTGAATAGCAATGTACACACATCTAAACATTAGCTTAAGTAATACGTTTCTAAATATTCATCGCAGAAACTACCTAAATACCTAAAAATTTATGATTCAGACTATTGGTTCGTTGCCAAAAGTCTGTTTTATGTTATGTGTTTTCCCTCCCACATACCTGCCAAAAATAATGGTTCCAGAGAGGAAGTTCTGTACAAAGTCAAATTGTTATTAATCATTTTGATCTTCAGTACACATGCATCAGCCAGTAACAATGAGTTGGTGTTTCACCAAGTTCCACAGCAAAATAAAGAGCAGATCGAGTCAATGTCTGCCATCAGTAATAGAACAACATCCAGAGAAGGTATGTTAGTGTCCATCTCTCAGAGAACAATCTGTGTTGTGATTCACAGCATCTGTGTGGTTCTATCCATCATCATCTGTGTGGGCTCTGCTGTGGTCCAAGATGCACAGGACAACAGCCCTCCTGACCATAAGGCAGACTTTAGTTCTTTTGTAACCTGCTATGGTCTGAATAGTTAAGTCTCCTCAAAGTTCCCCAATCTAGACACTGGGGACCCAGACCTGTAATCCCAGATCATCAAGAGGCTGAGATCTGTGGACTGTGGTTTGAAACAAGCCCAGGCTAGAAACTCCATGAGAGTCTCACCTCCAATGAACCACCAAAAAGCAAGAAGGACAGCTGAAGTTCAGAGTAGCAGCCTGGGACAAAAAAGCTAAGGGACAATGTGTGGCCTTGAGTTCAAGCCCTAGTGCCAGCCACACTGGCATGCACACACATGCACACATGCACACACACACACACACACACACACACACACATTCCTATTCTGAAATACAAGCTCAGGAGGGAGGGTGGTAGAATACAAGGGCTCTGGCAGGTGATTGGACCATGGAAGCAGCACCCTGCTGGCAGGGATTGGTATCTTTAGAAGATACTCCAGAGAGGTAGCAATTCCCTACCACCATGGTCACAGCAAGAGAGCACCATGTCATGTATGTACCAGGATTCTGGGCCTCATCAGACTCCCAATCTGCTACCATCTTCCTCGTGAACTTTCTGGCCTTCAGAGCTATGAGAAAGATAGTTTTATTTACTACTTGCTCAGTTCCTGGCATTTTGTGATAGCTTGTACAGACTAAGACATCCTTTAGGGGTACAATCGTACTGTTGCATCCAAGGTTTGAGCTCAATTCCTTTTTAGACCAACTAGAAAATAAAATTCAAGGTAAGGCATCTTAGTCCATTCTATACTCCTATAACTAAAATACCACAGACTGGATAATTCAGAATAAACAGAAGTATGTTGGCTCACCATTCTGGAGTCTGAGATGTCCAAGATCAGAGGACTGAAGTTTGGCAAGGGCCTTCTTTCTGCATCATCATACAGCAGGCAGACAGGGAGAAAACAAACTCTGTTCCTAAAGGTAGAAGAACAAGGAGGCCAAAAGAGGCCCCAAATCACCCTTCTCCGATGGTGTTTTCTCTCCAGCAGCCTAATCAGCTGTCAAAGACTCTTTAATACTGGGATAGTGGAAGCTAAATGTCAGTGTGAGTTTTGGAGAACACAGATATGCAGGACATAATGATATATATAGTTGTCACCCAGAAACAGTTACAGTGACTTTCCTAGTACATGGGATGGAACACCAACTGTTTATGTTGGTGTTCTAAGGAATTGTGGTAATGTTTCTGTAATGGTTTAGAATATGTGATTAGTTAAATAATTCCTCTCCCTCAAATTCATGTCTACTTATCATTGCCTGGACAACGGGTGAAGATGAGCGCTGAATCTGAAAGCCCAAAGCCACCACAAAAAGAAACTAGGACAGAAGCATGGAAGATTTCTCTTCTCAAAGCCTCCAGAAGCAACCAACATCACTGACACGTCAGTTATGGACTTCTGTACTACATAATTGTGAGACACTAAATTCCTGATGTTTTAAGCCATCAGGTTTGTGGGATTTTTCAAAGAGTAGCCCTAGCAAAGTAGTGCTGATGGTCAGAATAATGCTACCAAAAAGAGCATCTATTGAAGGCTTTTGTGTAGTATGGCTGTAGCATCTGTCACCAGGTTAATTGCCAGGCCTCAGTGATGGCTCCACATCCTCCTTCAGAGTTTCCTTCCTCTGAGAGATCCATGCTTCCTGAAGTTTTGACACAAACAAAAAGAATTAATATCCCAACACTGATGGCTCACAACTATAATCCTAGTTACTCAGGAAGCTAAGATCTGAGGATCATGGTACAAAACCAGCCTATGCAGGCGAGTCCATGAGACTCATATCTCCGATGTACCACCAAAAAGCTGGAAGGAAAGTTGTGGCTCAACTGATAGAGCACTAGCCTTAGAGAATCACAACTCTGGACATTATCTATGAGGGTCTCCAGAGATGGTTAGTTCCTGAGAGCTCTGATCTAATTCATTGTTTAATCCATTGATAGATTTAACGTGTGCACAGACTATCGGGAGGCGGAGGAGCTTTGAGAGTAGGGCCTGAGGAGGAATAGGCTGCTGAAGGGTATCTGTGAGGATGCATCTTGCCTTGACACCTTCTTGGCTGCCATGAGGTAAATATTTCCTCTGCCTGCCCTTCCACCATGATATTTCAGACTTGCAATAAACCTACAAGCAATGGAGTAAGCAATGGAGCCACATAACCAAGGATTTAAACCTCTGAAATCACAAGCCAAATAAATACATCTTATTTAACATCGCTTCTCTCAGGTTTTTGACACAGCAATGTAAAGTGTAACTAACACACAGTAGTCGCTTGATTTCATGTAATAGCTGAAACAGTAAAGAAAGCTGGAGGTAGAAGAGAGCTAGGAGTAGAGAGTTGGAAGAGGGAAACTCAAAAAACTGTCTTGGGGTCCAGGCAGGGGCAAACAGCTGGGTTAATAGTAAAGTCCTTTACCAAGGTGAAGAAAATTGGGAAGATCAGTTTATAATATAATCAAGAGTGTTTTCTAAAGTGTAATGTCCTTGAGGGATCGTGTATGCATGAACTTTGCCAACCAGTCTATACCCAGCACCCAGCAAGCTCTCTGACATAACAGGCTGTATTTTAAAAAAAATTAATAGGTATGAATTAAACTGGTTTTGATAACATTCCAGCAATAACCCGAAACATTTAGCTCTTTAACAAGGGGAAATCAGTAAATTTCAATGAAATACTAATGGAGTATAGTTACAGGATACAAGTTTCAGACTGATGCATGAAATGAAGGCGACAACTTAGTGACCTCTACTATATGAGCCTCATATAAAACAAAAAACATTTTTATAGAATGTTTACTATAAAGAGTATTTAATATTATAAACAGGTATTTCAGAAAGGAAAATAGCCTGAAAATTTTGCTATAGAACAAGGCTCTTTGTTATTACTTGAAACACTTAAATTCTGTTGTTTTAGAGAGCTGAGTCTTAAAGACACTGGCAGCTTTGTCCCGCTGGCTTTTATTAGGCAAAGAAGCAAACAAGAGAGCAAATGACATCATCTTTGTGTCAGCTGTTGATGCCTGTCAGATTTGACAGGTTCAAGAGAGCTCTAAACTGACAGGGAGACAAATTGGTAGTCAGCTTTTAACCTTAGAGGAGAGTATAGTTTCAGCATAATCACATTAACATGCTATTTGCCTGTCCTGACTCTGCTAGACTATGATTTATTCATTTCATGAAAGAGAAGTCCTTTAACAAAAGGCTAGAAAAAATATGAGTTTGCTGGTGTTCTGTCAAAAGGTATCAAGGATTAAGATTTTCAGTAGGAAATTAGCATCTAGTGTCTTTATTGTTCCTATAAAGGCTTTTCAGATATGGGCAATGTCATTGAAAAATTTGATCAGACTCAGTTAAATATATCTAGAGCTAAAGTGATACACTTGTCTAAGTGAATTGTTTTTTCAAGAAAAAAACACTCTAAAATAGCCAAGTGAAATATTTTTTCAATATTCTGAAACCATTAAAAATATTTATTACAGCCAGGCACCACTGACTCATGCCTGTAATCCTAGCTACTCAGGAGGCTGAGATCTGAGGATCACAGTTCAAGCTAGCCCAGGCAGGAAAGTCTGTGAAACTTGTATCTCCAATTAACCACTCAAAAACTGGAAGTGGCGCTGTGGCTCAAGTGGCAGAGTGCTTGCCTTGAGCACAAAGAGGCTCAGGGACAGCTCCCAGGCCCTGAGTTCAAGCCCTACAACTGACAACAACAACAATAACAACAATATATATATATGTATAGGTGTATAAATATATATTAGGAGACAACAATTCTATTTCTGGCTATCAATAACTCAAAAGGACTGAAAGTAGGATCTTCTCAAAGAGATATTTGCACACCCACGTTCACAGCAGCTTTCCTCACAATAGCCCAAAGACGAGAGTAGGCCATGTGTCCACCAACCGTTGACTTTCTAAGTACAAGGAAGTATAATCTCACAATAGAAGACTGTTCATCCTCAGACAGGGAGAATCAGACCCAGGCTACCACATAGATGATACTATGCCAAGAGAAATACATCTCACAAAGGGAACAAACTACTGTCTGGCTCCATTTCCTATGAACACATCAACTTCATAGAGTCAGAAAGTAGACTGGTGATTGCCAGGACTGGAGGCAAGGAAGAATGGGACATTGTTGATTCATGAGCACAGAGTTTCAATTTTGCAAGATGAAAATATCCTGGGGGTGGATGGTGGTGAATGCTGCACAATATACCTGTCTTTAGTAGCACTGAACTCACACTTGAAGACAGTTAAGATGGCAAATATTATGTTAGGTCTGTATTACCACAGCTACAGGACTATTGATTACTTTTAAGCAGTGATTAAGGGGTTGCATTAGCTTCTTGAGTCATCTGACAGCATAAGACTGAAGATTTCAGATCCTGGTGATAATACTGTCTTCCCAGGGCCTGGCACCATGAGTTTTAGCTAACTGGAAGTTGGGTTGGGACTGACATGTTCAGAGTGAGCATAAGAAAGCAAATGTAGTTTTAATGTGCCCAAAGAATTACTCTATCTAGAATGAAAACAGGGCAGTCCATCTTTCTTCTCTTTTGACCAGGCGACATGAAATTCTCTTTGGCTATTGGGAAATCTTTCAGAGAAACATAGCTCAACTGAAAAATAGGTCCAGGAGGAAGAACCAGGAAGGAAAAAGGACCTGAAAAATAACTAAATGATGCCAGGAACTGGTGATTCATGCCTGTAATCCTAGTACTCAGGAAGCTGAGGTCTGAGGATCAGGATTCAAAGCCAGACTAGGCAGGAAAGCCCATGAGACTCTTATCTCTAATAAAATACTCAAAAAAATCCAGAAGTGGTGCTGTGGCTCAAG